TATCATGATCGAGAATGTTACCCGATAAGGTAAGCGAAAGTAATAACTTTTCCAACTAAAAGTTTGATAAACGGTCCACAAGTCTCTCGATCATTGTTCATCTTACTGTGTAAGATTATCGATACTTCCTATGCATACCCATTAAACCATATACACTTGATGAATCAAAATTAAAAAATAAACCAGTTTGACCGTAAAAAGTCAAYATACGTTGAATAATAATTACAAGAAATTAAGAAACGAAAAATATCAATAAAAATGGTGGTGGTGGATAATGCATTGGAGAGGCTTACGCCGTATTTTAGGTGACGTGGCTTCCCATGCAAGACTCGTTTTTTTGTTCTTCATCATTGTCTTTAAGGAGATATTTAATTCATTTAGAAATTAAATTTCATCTATTACGTTATTTTCATAAGACCATTTTTTTATATTTGAAACTTTACAGTAAAACGCTGTGAAAGTAATTTTCATAATGTTTTTGCTAAAAAGATTCGACTTTTTTTACCTTCACAACGTTTCGCTTTGAAGTTTCAAGTGTAAAAAAATGGTCTCACGAAAACATACTGATCTCACGTGAATCCAACCCTATATATATAGTATATATGTATACACACACACATATATATATATATATATATATATGTATGTATATATAGAGAGTTAACATAATTTGATAGGAAAAAAACCATTTCAAGTTGTTGGAAACACAATTATCAGCATAGACCAGTTAAACTTACTTTCGTCAATCTCAGATTCGTCCGGTTTAATATTCCAATACCTTGTGCCCAACTACTAATTTCAACCTCCAAAAACCAATAATTTTTTAAATTCTAAAATATGGATTATATATATATTGCAAATTTTATTATTAATTTTATATCATTAAAATTTAAAGCACTTGTAACAAGTCTACTTACCTTTAAATTGTAATAAAACCAGTGATAACTTTTAGAAATTTCTATGCTTTAGTTTTTATTTTTTGTTTTTTTAATTACAATAATTAATTTATACTAAAACTTTATAGATTATAGTCAACAATATTTTTTATCTTTGATTCCCAACTATTACCTACTTTATTAGTTGGCTTCATTTAATTATTAGAAAATAATARAATGATATCAAATGAATTATAACTTRCCCATGGTGGAATATATAACAATCAGGTTTCTTTGTTTACCTCTTAATAGTTTTATTAACAGATATCTTCTAAATCGTTAAAAGATATATATTGTTTGTTAAAAAAAGTATGTTTCTTAATAGTTTTAAACTTTTTGAATGAATTTGTATCTTGGACATCCCTTAACAAGTCGGTACCCTAATTTCATTCTGAATAATTACCAAACAATTAGATTTCATTTTACACTATATTATAAGACCTTTTAATCATTCTGATCTCTTAATCATTATGCACCAGACCATTCAATGACCGTAAAAAAAAAAATCCTAAATCAAAATTTAACATTTAATACAAAAGAAAGACAACTAATAAATATCATATTATATAAATATGATTTAAATTCAATATGTGTGTCAACATAAAATCCTTTTGTGCCATCAATTTCAACTTAATTACATAGTTGTTTGTTTATATACGCACARAGAGAGTGTATTAAATATAAACCATATAATTATTATAAACTCTACAAGTCGATCTCAACCATACATATAAATAATCAACAATGTGGATTAAATCAGTTTCTAAATTCACCTCGACTGCTTTTACTTTCTATCAGTCGATTTTTTTGGTAATCTCCTAATACTTTTCTGTATAACACAGTTGCTCAAGGAGGTCGTGTTTTTCTATCTTGTTCTCTTATTGTGTAAATTTTTTAATTCAATTTTTTATTATAATTTAATTTAGGTTTAATGACGAATTAATTTATTTTTGGTTTAAGAATATAATTTTTATAAAGATAATAACTAAATTTATGTTAAAACTCAATAATTATTTCTAAATATATCTTAGATATATTTAAAATGAGAATTTTATCATGTATTTGATTATATTTATCTACAGTTAGTTACACGAATTCAAATATGAAACTTAATAAGTTGTATTTATACATAATTTTACTTGTAATCTTGAATTTTAAGTAATATAAATCAATAAACAATACTTCATATATAAAAAAGATGGTTTTTAAATTTTTTTATTAATTATTTTATAATATACATATATATATACACACACATAATACAATGTTGGGATTGTAAATTGACATGAAGATGCTATTCACACCTCTTTCCACTCATRTTTCATACCACCTCCTCATTTATCAGTCATATAATAATAAATATAAATAAAAACATATATATATATATATTTCATTTCAAACAATTTAAAGAAAAAACGTTGAATTTTTTTAACAAAATTCTTATCAAATTCATCACCAAACTTAAAATCATGGGAAAATATGTGACGTAATGTGTGATTATTTGTATTATAAATCTAATCAATTTTTTAAAGTTGAAAATGAAGCATTTAATTTTAAATTTGAATATAATACGTAGTTGTTGAATTTCCCATTTTTCAATAATTTATGTTCAATATTTTTATAAATTAAAATATTAGTTTTTTTTTTCTATATATATATATAGAGAGAGAGAGAGAGAGAGAAATAGAACGTTTCAAATGCAATCCATCATATTTGTACAACTAATATAACCCAATCAATTGAAATATTTATGGAAATAATTTGGATTCATTTAATATGATTTGAATATTCATGAAAGATGACTATTACTCATTAATTATGATCAATATTTTATATTAAGAAACAATCAAAACTTTTATAAAATTACATATTCATCAAATTAAATGGACGATTAAGATTGAATTATATTGATTATACAAATATAAAAAATTGCATAATAAATCACCCCCTCCCTCTTTCTATATATAATTAAGTATAAAATATTATAATCATATACATATTTCTAGGCYTCTTTCTTCTTCTTCCTGAGGGAGCAGTTGGCATCTTCCCTTTCTCTCTCTCAATCCAACACAGGACAACAAGAAGAATCTCATCCAACMACCWTTTCCCCAATATAATAAATATTAAATATAATCACTTTTTTTCCATGTTGTTAGATATAAGTACACAATTATAATAATATTTGCATTCATTTTTATTTTAAGTTAAGTTATATAAAAAATCAACGTATTTTAATTTGATTCATATTTTACGTAACGTATTTTCAAAACTTTTATTTTGGTACCTAAAATGTAAAACTTTAAATATTTAAGCACTCGAGTAACCGGTTGAAGTATTAACCGATTATCATGCTGATGTGATGAATGATGTGGTATCCAACTTAGTATTATTTGCTGAACCGTTAACCGGATACCATATCACTCGCCACATCAGCATGGTAACTGGTTAATGCTTCAACCGGTTACCCAAATACTTAAATGTTCAAAACTTTACATCTTAAGTACCAAATGAAAGTTTTAAAAGTATGTTACCCAAAATGTGTAATTTTTCTCATAATATTTAGTCTTTTTATTTAGACCTCCCACTATTTAATATATATGATAGATTCATTTTCAATTAGTATGACAAAAAAATTTTCATTTTTTAAACATACATGTTATCAATTATTTTGATGTGAAAATTTTTATGTAATCAAGAACTACAATATAATTTGAAAACTTAGTTTACAGGTCACCAGCAGTTACAAAATTTATTGGTTACGAATAAAAATATGTACTGAAAAAAAAAAAAGTTGAACGTTTCCTATACGAWTTTGATAAGAAAATGCTTACATTAAATATGAATTGGAACCAATTTCGTTATATTATGATCTTATATTTATTCAATTCTCATCATCTTCATACGTCATAACATTAAATTTACAAAGTTTAAATATATGTAGTAAGATAGTCAGGTTTCATTTRTTTAATCCTACTGAAACATCGAATACCATCGTTACCAAGAGCCATGGATGTTGAATAAAGTGCAACCCCGAAACAACGTTGTATACCTATTGCCACTGTCAACGTCATGGTTGCCATCATCACCTTCGATTAATATTACTGGTAAATTTAGCATTATATAATACTTTCTAATTTTTGCAATAAAACTATAAAAACGTCGTAAAAGGGTATTTTAGTCATTTATTATTATTTTATTACAATTYCGAGAAGTTATATTCAACAAACTAAAGACACATATTCCAGTTACTTTTAACATATTCTGTTCAAATTCCAACCAATCAAACACATACTCAAACTTGATAAAATCCCATATCGACTTCTTCATTCCTATTCATTCAACCCATCCCAATTCCGACAGATTCCATTATCTGAACCAAACACCTCCTTTGTACGCAGATACATTTTCTTATATCGATTTTGGGAAGAAAAAAATACACTCCTTGTGCCCCAAAATAAACATCCACAATGAAAATGACTTAGTTTTAGGAATGTGTAATAATAACGTTTTTTAAATAATTATTTACCCTTTATAATAGAAAGATAAACTTTCTGCATCGCATGATTAAGGTTAGAATGAAAAAACAGACACTTATTTTGTAGCAAATTCAAATAGAATGGTAGATATTTAATGGCCAAATTRCATGAAAATGTAACGTACTTTAACATGATTCATATTTTGAAAACTTTCATTTTGGTACCTAAGATGTAAAATTTTAAACATTTAAGTATCCGTTTAAYTGGTTACGTACTATTGCTATTCAACTCAATTTCATCTCAACACTCGTCACGTCAGCATGATAACCGATTTATACTTCAACCGGTTATTTAAACGTTTAAAACTTTACATCTTAGATACCTAAATAAAAGTTTTGAGAGTACGTTAAGAAAAATAAGAATCAAATTAAAGTATATTACTCTTTCATGTAATTTATGTCAAATTAAAATAAAAATGTAGACGATTAATTTGGGATGAAGTAGCAAAAAATAAGAACAAAAAGGTTTTGATGGAGCCTCTAAATAATTGCCAAATGTCACCCATCTTTGTTTCCTAGAAAAACCTCCCTTTATTTAAAACCATCTTTCACCTCTCTTTATGACTTAACAAACAAACAAACATGAAACTATACTAAAATCCCCACTTAAAAAACAATTCATACCATCAAGAATCATCTCTTTCAATTCCTCCAAGATTTCAGTTTCAATCCAACATATCCTCCAAAACATGCTTAGCATCTTCAACAAAAACCTCCGGCGACTCTGCTCCAAGCTCCGGTGGCCGGTGCGCCGCCGTGCAAAACCTAAAGTGGTCATAAAAAGATTTGGGAAATCAAACTCCAAAGGTCAAGATTCATCATCAAACCCTAATGGGTCAAATGGTGGATCAGCAGCCACTATTTATCCAAATAATCATTTGGGTATTCCTAAATCCGAAAACCCAATTCGAATCGCAACTTTTAATGCTGCTTTATTCTCCATGGCACCAGCTGTTCCAGAATCGTTGACTGAAAAAGCTTCAAGCTTTGACCATGGCGGAAATGAAGAACAAGACTACACCATTAAGGTACCTTCCAATTGCTCAGTTTCTTACCCTACAACTAACTCAAGATCAAAATCCATGGTTGATCGTCCCAAAAGCATTCTAAAACAATCACCATTACATTCAAGCTCCATAAGTAGTAGTAGCAGCAGCTCAGAAACCCTAACGAAACAGCAAAAATTCGCAAGGTCAAAGCTACGAGTCTCGATCAACTTGCCCGATAACGAGATCTCGTTAAAGCGAAGCGGCCAATTGAGTTTCGTTATAGGCGAAAACGAGGGCGACCCGGGTTCGAAAACGGGTGGTTCGAAGAGTATAAGTAGGATTTTGAAAGGAAAAGGGGTATTAAGAACACAAAACAGCTTTAGTTCGAAAGAAGTCAACGGTGGTCAAAGGGGGGATTATAGGTCTACAAAGACCGTTGTTGAGGTATTAAGAGAATTGAATGCAGATATCTTGGCATTACAAGATGTTAAAGCTGAAGAAGAGAAAGACATGAAGCCATTGTCTGATTTGGCTGCTGCTTTAGGGATGAATTATGTGTTTGCTGAGAGTTGGGCACCGGAATACGGTAACGCGGTGTTGTCCAGATGGCCGATTAAACGGTCAAAGGTTCAGAAGATCTTCGACGATTCCGATTTCAGGTACGAGATTTATTCTAATGTACTTTCGAATTATTTTTTTTAATCTGGGTGTTGTACTTTCAAAAGGTTATCCATCGATTAACAGGTAAATTTTTTAAACCATAGTGCCTACAGTGGCGGGTCTAGGATTTTTGTCGAGTAAGTGCACCTGTAAGGTGTATCAATGACMCTCAAAGTTGTTCGATGTGTTTTTAACTGAATTCCACCGTTTTGACTTTTTCGAGGGATTTTTAAGCGTTTTTTATGTTGATTTGGAGGAACTTTTTTCGGGTTTTTGTTGTTGATTTCTATCATATTTTTTAATATCTCGGAGCACCCCTCAAAATTTAACAAGTTCATCTTTTATACCATAAAAAAATCTACTTGCAGAAGTATACTGAGCGGGTGCATAGGACCCACCAAGACCCTCATAGGTCTTCTTGAACGTCCTAATAAAGAATAATTAAAAAGTAAATTCTTATAATAAAGAAAACTAAAAGTACAATATTATAATAAGAAAATTTATGAAAATGGATTGCTATTTTATCTGTTTAGCTGTTTAATTTAGCTATTTAATTGGTTGTTTTTTTAAAATTAAAAAGACAAAGATAAGTTTTGGGCTCAATTATGGCATTCTCTCTTTATCTCCCATTTAATGGCAGTAATGAGTCTTCTCTTTCAAAGAGGCAAAGGGTAATGGAATTCCTTAAGAGGAAGGTCATATAGTACATAAGCCTATTAATTGTGAAAAGCCATAAATGTATCGTTACAGAATCTTCGATGTTTAACACTGATCAACGAAAATGAGCTATTTACTTAAATGATCTTAAAAAACCGAATTCAAGAATCTAACTCTTTGATGCATTTTTGAGTTTTTAAGGGAACATACTTATCTGAACTAGGGCCAGAGACTGTTTTGAATTAAGGATAGACAGTGAATACATATAGCATTTATTCAAAATTGAGATGGGACCCATAAAAATGAGTGTTTAAAAGTCTATTTGTTTACTTCTTAATAGTTCTATGAAGAGGTAAATTTTGTTTGATAAAAAAAAATTTGTCTCTTAATGGTTCTAAAACTCTTTGAATTATTTTGTATCATGAGTCTCCCTTAACCATTCAGCACCCTAATTCCATTGTAAACAATTATCGAACAATTATATATATTTTTTACACTATATCATGAGAGTCTTTTAATTATTCTGACCAGTTAATCATTCTGCATCAAACCATTCAACAACTATTAAACAACCTCAAATCAAAAACTGATGTAAACCAAAAATAGGTCCAATAAAAATCATGGAACTTATTTCTGTTAAAAGATAAGGTCTAATTAAAAACTTATGTAATTAAAAAATAAAGTGAGAACATGAGATGAGATTGGAGGGTCCTTAGCAGGGGGGTGGGGGTGGTTTTCTTGATCCTAGCAAAACTAGATACCAATCTTTCTGTCATCACCTAACTTCTTTTTTTCAATTTTTCTACTCAATAATAATAATTCATGGAACCCAGATAACAAGTTTGAATATTAGTGCTGTTTGGTATCATGTTTGAAAACAGCTGTATCCTAAACAAAGTGTTCAGCTACTACTAAAATATTTTAATTAAAGATTATTTAGGTTTTTTTTATAAAATAAAAATCTTATTTTTTAAAAAGTACGTTACTTAAAATATGAATAAAAATAGAGTATCTTATATTTTCATGCAATTTATCTCTTTTTTAAGAGAAATTGATCAAAATAGCTGATTTTCTTAACCAACTTTGTTTTTTTTTTTGAAGCAATTGACCAGAATCAGATATTTTGATCAATTCCCCCTTTTTTTGAGCATGTGAATGCAAAATTTGACCTCTTGGTTGCTACTGAAACCCTAACTTTATTTAGAATTTTTGCACACTAAGTTATGTCATTTTCCATTTATGTATACATGCCATTAAATTTGGGGATTTAAGACTGTTTCTGGTGGTCCATGGTTTACTTTATTTGGTTGGTGGGGATGCAATTTTTCGGGCTCGTTTTGTGGTCGGCGTTCACGTTTCTTGAACGGTTAAGTAAATAAACATGGTGTTTACCCGTTTTTGTAATGATATTGATTTGGGTCTACCGTGATTGATATAGTTAATGGTCTAAGAAATGGATCGAGAATACTTTAGATGGTGACCGTTGGCTAACTGTACGATTGATCCCAATGTTATTTATCGTATCGGTTTTCTTTTATATACTTGCAAATTAGCCTTTTTTTCTTCGTAATGAATGGAAGAATGAGGTGAAAATCAAAGAGATTTTATTAGAGACTTAAGGTTATGTTTGATGACCATAAGCTAGTTTATTTTTTTAAGATTATTGAAAAAACCTTGTTTGGTTAGCTATAAGCTAACTTTATGAAGTCACTTCAAGTATTGTTTCAATAAGCTCCAGAGATATTTTCTAATTATACATTTATATTTTTCTAATTAATTTTTCAACATGTTCTTTTTTTTTTTTTACATTGTTATCTAGCTTATAAGCTACTCCATTTCCTCCCAAATAAATGTCTACAATGAAAATGACATAGTTCTAAAAATGTGTAATTCTTACAATTTTCAATTAATTAAATGACAATTGTACCCTTAATAATAGAGGTAGCAATAAATATATCCATTGCATAATTAGGGGTAGAATTGTAAAATAAGTACTTACTTTTGAAAACCGACACTTATTTTAGGACAAAGGGAGTAGATTTTACTATATATGACTAGTTTATCAACCTACAACTAGCTTATCAGTCGGTTTTTACCAAATATACTAGTTTATCAGCTAGCTTATCAGCCTACAACTACTTATCAGCCAATTTTTACCAAATATGACTAGCTTATCAGCCTACAACTAACTTATCAACCAATTTTTACCAAATATACTAGTTTATCAACTAGCTTACGAGTCACCGGCTAACTTATGAGCTAGTTTTCCGAACATGTTCTAAAACGACCCGAGTGAGTCAAAAGCCATTAGTTTTTCTTCGGTGTTGAGCCGACATAAAGAAAAGACTTAGAAACATAAATTTCAACGGGTTGTTCAACCGGATGCAGGAACGTTTTAAAGGCGACAATTGATGTTCCTGAAACGGGAGAAGTTGATTTCCACTGTACCCTTCTCGATCATCTTGACGAGAAATGGCGCATGAAGCAGATAAATGCGATAATCGAAGCTAACGATGGACCACACATCTTAGCTGGCGGCATCAACTCTCTTGATGAAACAGACTACTCACCAGAAAGATGGACAGACATCGTTAAGGTACGGTAAAAATAATAACCCAATCATTGTACCCGACATCACGAAAACACATGGGATGCCAACAATCGTAACGTGTTCTTTTCAGTACTATGAAGAAATGGGAAAACCCACACCAAAAGTTGAAGTGATGAAGTACTTGAAGAACAAGCAGTACACTGATGCCAAGGATTTTGCAGGCGAATGTGAATCCGTCGTCATTATCGCGAAAGGCCAGAGTATGAACCTTACGCTTTCGGTTTCTTTCTTAGGGGGTGTTTGGGATTGCTTATAAAAACAACTTATTGACTTATTCCAGTGTGACACGGTAATAAGCACTTTTGGGTGTTTGGGGAAACTTTCTATTTTTTTCCGCACATTTATGAAAAACCGGGGTTTTTTAGAGAAACGACCACTTTGGTACATGGCACAAGATGAGACAGGACAGGACAGGACAGGACAGGACATGCCTAAACAAAAACTTGTAGGAACAAAACTTAGCGACAACATGAGACAGGACAAACAAGAACTTGTTGTCACATTTAGACCGGTACAGGAGTCGAAATAACTTTTTTCGTCCCACCAAAATATGTGGAACAAAAATCAGGGACAGGATGAGATATGACAGAACAAAAACTTGTTCATAAATTTGGTGCGACATTCAGACCGGGACAGGATATGACTGAGATTTTTTTTATCCCACCGAAATAGGTGGAGCAAAAAAAGGGAAAATGAGACGAGATAGAATAAAAATCGGTTGTCGAACGTTTGTCGCGACATTTAGGGCCGTTTACCAAATACTTACTTGGTAAGCGCTTACTTTATCAAGTGTGCATAACAAGTACCGAGAATCTTATCTGATAAGAGTAGGAAGGACGAAAAGCACTTACCAACAACCCATTTTAATGGCCGAGAATGTCACCTGATAACGTAAATGAGGGTGGTAACCTTTACCGTAAGCACTTACTCGATAAGAATTTAGTAAACGTCCACTTAGACTAGGACAACCACGATCGTGTGGGATGAAAAGCATTTTTTTGTCCCACCAAAATACGTGGAACAAAAATCTGGGAAACAATACAAAATTGGAAAATTACTACATACCCATGTTAAAATTAAAACCCTAAAACCTTGCACAATTATTTTATCCGCCTATCTCACTTTTGCCCCTCCAATCCTGTCCCGTTCCCTCCTGTCTAGTCACATCTGCGTACCTAACACGTTTGCGTCCCAAACACAACAGAGGTCATGTAAGATCCTACATCGGTTGGAGAGGGAAACTAAAGTTTCCTTATAAAGGACTGTACATATCCTCTATCAGACGTATTTTAAAACCGTGAGTCCGAGTTTGAACAAAACGGACAATTCTGGTACGGTTGGCCTGAGATGTTACAAATGGGTATCAGAGTCGGAATCGACTATGTGCTAGCGAGTGGGAAACTAAGATTGCCTTATAAGGGACTGGATACCTCCTCTCCCAAACGCATTTTAAAACCGTGAGTCCGAGTTTGCACAAAGCGAACAATATCTGGTATGGTTGGCTTAGGATGTTACAGGTGAGGTATACATACATCTCACCCCCAAACCCCCACTTTCAGGTGGAATATACTAGGCTTGTTTCGTTTGGTTTCCTTCTTGAATCTTGAAGATAACGGTTTTTAAAAATTAAACGCAGATGTGCAAGGTACGTGCAAGTACGGTACAAGGGTAGATTACATACTCGTGTCGCCGGATTCTCCCTACAAGTTCGTTCCGGGTTCATATATGGTGTTATCGTCTAAAGGTACTTCTGATCATCACATCGTCAAAGTTGATGTAACAAAGGTAGATGTATCTGCTCAACAACAGTTCGTTAGGAGACATCGACAACCGAAACAAAAACTTGTCAAGATAACGAATTCTAATTCATCGAAAGGGGTATGGAAAATGCAAACTTTAGATAGATAGAAATACAGATAATTCTACATATATTTATATCTATATCTATATACACTGGTTTTTTGTTTGCTTTGTGATTGTTTTATGGGAAGAGAGAAAGAAAGAGAGTGTCTTGCCCGTGTAAATCTTTACGCATCTGTGTAGTTTATTCTACGTATTGTGATTTTGTTTCTTGAATTTTTGAATGTTAAACGAAAATATCGAGGTTTCTTGAATATTTTCATGCTCTGACATGGGTTATATTTTGTAACGACCGGTCAAAATGGATAGAAAATTGGATTTGTAAGCTCCATATAAGCTTAAAGTTATGGGCTACCAATAACTTTCACCATGGTTTTAAGTTGAGTTCGAAGTTATTAGGTCCATCTGTTGCTTTGGGCTTGGGGAGTTACAAGTTGTATTTAGAGTCAAGTAGACTCGTGTGCCAACAAGGACGTTGGGCTCCTAAGGGAGTGGATTGTTCGATCTCACTTTGGGTGGGGAGGGGAGTAAATGCTACCTTATAAAAGGAGTAAGATACTGGATACCTCCTCTATCGGATCATTTTCATACCTCCAACTGCAACTACTTTATTTTAGAGATTTCAACATTAATTATAGTGACTCCCTTTTTTAATACAAATCGACCAAACTTACTTACAGCACCCGGGTACCCCTCTAAAGCACCACAAGGAGATTTTCTTTTTTGTAACCATGAGTTTTCGGGCTAGTTAGTGTGTAACTCAACTAAGCCCATACGCCCTGAAGATAACAGACAGGAAAATCCCAGTGACTTTAAGAAGACTCGAACTGGCGACCTATTTGGGGAGGAGCCCCAAAGCCTAGCCTTTATTTGCCAGTTTAGCTGACCCTCGAGGTTTGACAAAGGGATAGAGTGCTTCCAAGAATGTAGCCTTCACAAATAATCCAAACAAAAAACAAATATATAAACACGTTAAATAACTTATAGATGTTTATTTTGGAGTCGATGTAATGCTCACTCGATGGCGTAATGTTGAATAACAAACTTTCAATGGATGATATCAGTGTGTCATTGACCATTGATGGAAGCTTGTATCTGTTCCAAAGTTTTTCCTTTCGTTTCTGGTACCATCTTGATCGTAAACACAATAGAACCGACATTTACCGCTGCATAAAGGAGGAACGTGCCTGAAACAACCTAGCATTTAGAATTTGTTTCGCAAACTAGCTAAAATGCTAGGTGTTGGTAGATAAGCTAGGCATGTCAGGTAAAAAAACTACTCCTTTCGTCCAAAAATAAATGTCCACAATGGAAAAGTGGTAAACAGTTTTAGAAAAGTGTAATTATTACACTTTTAATTAACTGAATTACAACTTTACCCTTGATAATATAGGAAGTAATGAATTTTTTCATCTCATGAGGGTAGAATTGGAAAGTAGAGACTTACTTTTGCAAAAAAATGACACTTATTTAGGGACAACATAAAATAGAAAAGTGGACACTTATTTTGTGACGGAGGGAGTAACTGATAAGGTAGATGACAATTAAAAATGATCAAAAATTAGTTGGAAAATGTAAGGGGCATAATTGGAATTTTTTGTTTGGAAAAAAGCTCCTGGAGCTTATTGAAACATTACTTAAAGTAGTTTTTCAAAAAGTTAACTTATAGTTAACCAGACCGGACTTTTTCAATAAGCTCAAAAAATAAGCTAACTTAATGTTGCCAAACATGTCCTTAATCTTGATAAACAGTGAACCACCATTGCTTTTCAGGATGCTTACCATAAGAACTCCAATCCATGAGAAATTTGAATGTGAACGAAACAACCCATGCACCAGCCCAATTTACTAGTGTCGCTAGGCCACCCGCAGCACCTTTGATGTTAATAGAAAATATCTAGATGAAGCATATTCACCGAATTATCAAAAGTCTGATGACAAATGAGAAATCAGATACCGTATTGATCTTGATGTATATATATATATACATACCTCGGACATGATAACCCATGGAACCGCTCCCATTCCTAATGAGAATCCGGTTATATACAACTGAGAGAAAAAACAATATCACAAGTCATATATCTACAATTTGAAGTATATATAACTAGAGTCCCTTCTTTTACAAATGTAACATCCCAGGCCAACCGTATCAAATATTGTCTGCTTTGTCCATAGACCCCGACTCACGGTTTTAAAATACGTCTGATAGAGGAGGTATCAAGCCTCTTATAAGGCAACCTTTGTTCCCCTCCCAACCAATGTAGGATCTTACAACAAACCCAATAATTCGTACATACTTAGAGCATCTCCGACAGCTATGCTATTTAGAAATTTAGAGATTTGGGAAAAGTTTGCTTCAATAGCTATGGAGAACTCTTCTCTAAAATAGAGAGAAAAAGGAGAAAGAATGGAGAAATCTCCAAATTTGGAAGAAGAGAGAAAAAAAATATAGCATACCTGTTGGAGATGCTCTTACAAATCAATTGTCATGTACGTGTGAAAATGCAGTGTTTATCAAGTGAACATTCAAGACTATTCATTTTCCACAGACAGAACAATCCTAAACACTTCACATAACGAAACAACACGGTATAGATACTGCATATTCACAAGTGTTGTTTCAACATAAACACGGGTTTGTAAGTTTGTATGATTTATTGGGTTTATAAATGATTATACGTATCCAGAATTATATACTTCAGAACTCACACGCACTCATCATCAAACTTGAACCCTTGACCTCTAGAGAGGTTGGGATCTATTGGTTATCCGGGAACCGTTGGGCCAATGACCCTTTGGTAAGTCATATACATGTTCGTATTTCCAGTTTTGCAAGTAATGTAATATTTACCAGTATACCAGTTACGGCAAGTGCAGGTGCTGCCCCTACTCCTATTTGATAAGTCTGGTGCACATGATGATCGTCAAACGATAAAGTATTTGACATACTAGCAGAAAACAAACGGCTACATCCGTCTCAAAACAAATGCAACATTACCCAGAATCACGAATGTGTAATCATTTATAAAATATTAGTAGCATTGATTTTTGGTCCACAAAATTCCATTCCTTTGTTATTAATCAAGTGCCTCTTTATTAGCAGCTTAATGAGTTTCATATGACTCACAGCTTATTCGGTCATCTAAACATGACTGTTTGGTAGTGGCTTGATGATATAGAAAGTGGCTTATTTAGTAAGCTTCTAGGGTGAGCTTTATGCAAAAAGTTAAGTTTTTTCTTTTCCAAGCCTGCCCCTTCCAATTAAAAAGCACACTCCTTTCATCTATAAAAACATATCTCAAACAAAAACCTTCCCAATTTATTTGTATATTTAATCCACACATACAACTTTATTGATACAAGACTTAATGAAAAACCAACCAAACAGCCCCTTAAGAGCACATCGAATGGAGCTTTTGGCCACCTAGACATGTGAAAAAGCTCCTAACAAGAGAAACCACTTTTTGCTTGTGCAATTACTGACTTTCAATAAGCTTGTTATCTTGCTCATGGTTAAAAATTAGAAAAAGCTTAAATAAAAGACCTCCACGGGTGTGGATGCATTCACAATCATAAGCTTTTCCTTAGAGCTTTTTCAAAAAAAATGGGGACCTGCAAGCCGCAAGCTTAGGTGGCCATGTAAACCAAGCTTGCTAAGAGTTTGTGCTTACGTGAGAAATTTTTTCATTAATCTTACGCAGCCAAAAAGCTTTCTAAAATGCTCCATTGAGGATGCTTTTAAGGGTCCTTTTGATTTGCATGATTTGGTGGGATTTGAAATTGAATTACATTATTATCCAACGTTTGGTTTAAAGGAAAATCCATGATTGAAATCCCACAATCATTGGGTTCAGAAATCCCATAAGATAATTGGTAATTTACAAGATTTCATGGGATTTGATTGTAATAATGTTTTAAGATATGTTAAAAACAACTGTCTTGTAATAATCAGTTAATAAAGAGAAATTTAATTATTTTCATAATTATTTATAATTTGTTTTTTTTTATAAATTATCTATAAAGAATAGAATTCATTTCCATTTCAAGTCCTACAAACCGAACACACCAAGAATTTCAAATCCTTCCTTAAAAATCAAAATCCCTCAAATGCATTCCGTCAAACCAAACTCCCCTAAATGTAAGATTTGTTTGTTAGCAACTTAATGAGACTCACAACTTATTCTATCAGCTATACATGTGTGTTTAGTAGTGGCTCAATGATAATTGATATGGAAAGTGGCTTATTCAGTAAGCTTCTAGGGAAAACTTTATGCAGAAAGCCAAATTTTCTTCCAAACCTTCCCCTCCCAATTAAAAACACGATCCTTCCATCTATAAAAGACCATTCGAATTTCCAAACAAAAACCTTCCCGATCCTTACAGACAAATTAATCCACTAAGACATATTTATCCGTACCCAACGTAATAAGGAATCAACCAAACAGCCCCTAATAGTCAAATCTGTTCATTTATCTGGTCAAACATTGCATTTATTTTGAGACAGATGGATAAAAGATAAAAGGTTGTGTCTGATGATTACCTTCAAGTAGAATGAAGCTGCTGTTAGTAAACATCCCAAAGCCATTCCTGTCACAGAAACCTTGAAAGTAGATGGTGTAATTAAATAAATGGTATCGACTAAAGGTGGAACAGCTAAAAGATTATAATGTATCAAGTAAAGTACAAATTTGGTCCTCGTGGTATGTCGAAAACAACACTTTTAGTCTTTATACTTTAGAAATTACAAGATGGCAATAGTGGTTTACAAAAACGTCCAAATTTGGTCCCTCCCTCTAACGACCACCAAAAAAGCTCCGCTAAATGAGGGGCATTTTCTTCCTTTTTTTTTGTCTTTTACCTAATCAAAATCGATTTTATGATTTTCGTCTCTATGGTTTTTGATTTGGTAAAAGATAAAAAACGATACAAGGACGAAAGTGCCCCTCGTTTAACGGTCATTAGGGGAGGCACCAAATTTGGATGTTTTTGCAAATCATGATGGCTATCTTGTAACTTCAAAACTATAGGGACTAAAAGTGTTACTTTTGACAAACAATAGGGACCAAATTTGTAGTTTACTCTAGTGTATTTGTTGGTATACAGATATTAAATTTACCAGTAACAATGGCTTTCTACCAGCCTTGTCTATAAGGAGTGCATTTAAGGCAGTAACCACAACCTAGAAAAGAAAAAGAGAATCAACTTTCAGTTACAGCATCCCAACAGATTTTTAAAATTTCTCTAAAATGGGCACTCAAATTTCACAATCTCTAAAAGGATCTTTATTCAACTCCAATGGTTTCTTCATTTTAAAAATTACAACATTGATTATATTATTAGAACGCAAGAACATCTTTTTACTATAGTCAGTCACATGTGATACTATATTCCATCACATATGATACTACATCAGAGATGCATACACCTTTGGTGCAACCTACTCAAGTCCCCCATATACCACTAGTCCACTAGGCCACTTCATGTGTATTATCACATATGATAAAGGTGTCCTTGATGCAATACTATATCCATCACATTTGACACTAAAGCAGAGATGCAGATGACCTTTGACATGACCTAGGTTGCAGGACACGTCGTCCGCACACCACCAGGTCCCCTCACGTGTATATTCACATGTGTTAAGAGTGTTCTCGCATTTTCGTAAAATGTAAATGTTCTCGTTTGAACCTCCACCTATTATAACATTTCATATATTTAATAAAATATTATTTCTCACTCTTGGACATTTTTCAGAGTTTCTTATTGGTGGGAATATACTACAGAAATATTTCTCTCGTGGTAATGATTTTCTGAGAGAGTGGAGAATTTGACTCTCTCCTACTTCCTCTATTTTGAAGAATATGTTGGAGCAAAAAACTTGCCCAAAATCTCCATTTTCTCAATTAGAGAATCTGTTGGAGATGCTCTAACAAGCATTTCATTAAATAAAGGGTTCTAGATTTATGAATGTCAAAATGATAATAACCTGAAGAACGGCATAGGTTATTGTACCAATATCAGCAGAAAAACCTGAAAATCATACATAGAAGTTACTGAAAGTGTTACATGTAGTTGGATCCAAATTAACAGAGATGGGCAAGGACCAATCCTTCAAAATATGATCTGGTCAACATGTTGGCCAAAGCGGTCCAAAAAAGGCCCGGTCTGGTCGGCTGAGGACCGATGTTCTGAGCCAACCTGATCTTGGTTTGTTCTGATTCCGTAATTTAATTTTGCAATTATTTTCTTTTATAGCTTTATCCGAAATCCAAATTTTCATCTGATTAGGGCTTTATCATGCGAAAATTGAGCAAAATAGCCGACCTCCTCAACCAGTTTCACTTTTTATCCACTTTTGGCATCGAATTCCCATTTTAGCCAATATTTACGCATGTGCATAAAGCTTATTGTTAGATTAAAAAACAAAGGGAAAAAATATTACACAAAAAGGGGATCCTTATGCAAATTATGAAAATATGCGTAAAGATTTTTTTTATTTTTTTTTATTCTGAAAATAGACTTTACGAAAATGCGCAAGAAATTTATGCAAACTCCGGCGAAAATTGGAATTTGATTGAAAAAATGGCTAAAAAGTGAATTTGATTGGAGAGATTAGCTATCTTGGTCAATTTCCCTTTATCATATCCGAACAGAGACCGGTCTGCCTCAAAGAACTATAGACCGATCAAGAACCGATGGCTGTTTTGGCTTGGTCCGGCCTGATGACGTCATGGTTTGAATGGTCCTGTCCAAATGGTCTGGTCTTTTTGCCCATCTATATGGTTATTATATTTTCCTTCTTCCGCTTTAATGGAAGGGGCTTTTGTTAGTTTGGTTGTATTGCTGGTCGGAAACATTAAGGATCATCAGTCCAAGATCTATACCTGCAGACTCGAAAATACTGCTTGCATAAAAACAGATCCCGTTTATTCCTCCAAATTGTTGAAAGATCATCAATCCGACTCCTATCTTCTCATTAGAAGTGGACAGGACGATGAAGATTAGCATTAAACTCGACATGCTAAGAAGACGTACACCGGAAAGGACAAACTAGAATAGAACAGGGATCATTGTTCCACGTTTGGCAAGACTATTATATGGAACAAACAGGAAGAGAGTGAAACAAAATGTAATAGGCTTTTTCCACCCCTGCACCATGGAATAAGGTGGAACAAATCTGTATTTTACCAATATAACCTCAAAATAAAACTTAATTCTTTTCTAAATCATCAAATATGCCTCTCTATTTACATTTTATACATTCTTTAAATTTTATCTGTTATATTTTATGCTCTTTAAACTTTCACTTTACTATCCTCAGAATATTATTTTGATATGATTTCTATATTTTAATTTGGGTAATTTATTAAATATTAATAAAATAATAAAATAAGATAGAAAAGGTACGGAATAAAAACTAGAAACTACATAATTTTTTTATTTTTGTGTCTTTTTAATCTTCTTCATGAAAACTTTATAATGATAAATTTTGTTATAAAAATATTTATTTTATTATAATTTAATAAATACATCAAATATGCCTCTCTTTACATTTTATACATTCTTTAAATTTTATTTATTGTATTTTATGCTCTTTAAACTTTTACTTTACTATCCTTAGAATATTAATTTGAAATGGTTTCTATATTTTGATTTATGTAATTTATTAAATATTGATAATTAGAAAATAAGATAGAAAAGGTACAGAATAAAAACCGGAAACTACATAAACTTTTTATTTTTGTGTCATTTTAATTTTCTTCATAAAAACTTTATAATGATAAATTTTGTTATAAAAATATTTATTTTATTATAATTTAATAAATTTTGGTCATTTTATCTGTTCTGTCATGTCCACGTCTATCTTACCAAACGTTTGAACAATTATTTTGTGTTGTTCTGTCCTGTCATATCCTATCTGGATGCCAAACGCAACCAAAAACCTGGTGATGATAAGTTTGGCAAGAAGACAAACTTACAACAACAGAGCTCAAATATCTTCTCTGAAACAAATCGAATAGACTTGCTTTCGGGAGCTTATCCAGTGTCTCTATATAATCCTGTCAACAGTTGCAAGATTTCATGAACACCTCAATTTTTATAGATTTGTTATGTGAAAAGAAAAAGATTGAGAGGTTTGAAATGCAAACTTTGATTTCTGCTGCCTCCTCAGATACATCAATATCCTTCCCACGAAGTTCCCTTAGTGCAGAATCAAACTCTATTGGTTTTCCTATCTTGGCCTGCATACATGCCAAAATTTCTTAAATCTTCACAGGGGGCTATTGGTTTTACGGAATATGTTTGAAAGATTTGGATTTTATGGAAGGATTTGGAATCTGATCTGTTTGTAGGATTTGGGATGGAATTGAATTCCATTCTTTATAGATAATTTATAAAGTAAATTATGTTTTTCATTCCTGTGGTTTGTTAAAAATTACGATTGTCATCTCTGTGGTTTTGAAATTGCAGTTTTCGTCCTTATGGTTTGTAATTCATTACTATTTTAGTCCTTATGATTGACAATTTATTGTTGTTTTGATCCCTGTATTTTACAAGTCTTTACTGTCTTGGTCCTTATACTTACGTGTAGGAATTAGGCCAGGGACAAAAAAACAATAAATTGCACACTATAAGGACAAAAATCAAAATTTATAGACCACAGGAACAAAAATCGTAATTTACTCTAATTTATAAAAACAATTTATAAATAATTATAAAAATAAATAAATTACCTTTTAATAATTGATTAATATAAAACAAATGTTTTAACAGATTTTACAACATTCTTACAAATAAATCTATGAAATCCCATGAAATACAACTACCTCCATGAGATTTTTTTTAAATCCGATGTCTGTAGGATTTTATTGAAATCCCGAAATTTTAATTCCAAGCTTTCCTTTAAACTAAACGCATGATTGAAGACGGAATCTAATAACAATTCTCATCAAATCCCACAAACCAAACTCATGCTTAAATCTTACCAGCCATCTAGGAGATTCTGGTATAAAAAAGAGGCCCACTAGTAACACAGCACATGGAATCAACCCTGCAAACCATATAAGTGGGATTCATCAAGCAAGGTTAGGTAGATTTTGTGCTTTGTTTTGTATGAACATTCTATACTGGACTGGGGGGACTGTACTAGCTAGAATGAGCTAGGCTTGTGAAAGAATTGTAAAAGGTTTTAAATTAACATAGGTAGTTTAGTAATTTACTAATCTTGTTTCATCTATGTGATTTTTGTTCAACCAATTTTGGCTAGACAAAGAAGTCATATCCTGTTCCAATCTAATTGTCATGACAACATGGGACAACAAGTTTTTCTCCTATCTTGTCCAACTTACCAAACGATTAAGCCTTTTATGATGAACTTTTGTTGAGTTTACAGGTTTTACTTTCCTACTCGTTTATGGATGGTTTAGTAATTTACCAATCTTGCATTTCTTGGTTCTATGTATGAGTTATGCCACAAGTGAGTAAAATTGCAAACGAAAGAAAGTAGGTAAACAATCATTTTTACAAAAACCTGTCAAAGCCATGGTTCTCCAATGTAGCAGCGTTCCTAAGATAAAGGAAACGGACACTCCGCAAACGATCAAGAGCTGCAAAGTAGGTGCGCACGGTTCAGATATATCCTAATGTTTCATATACCAACTTTTCTAGTATACAATGTGTCTAAGTGTGTGATTTTTAAACAAAATCTAAGACGAACAATCGTGTGAGAATAACAATTATGGTGAGAAAGGTGAGAACACTTTTGAGCCTTTGGAGGAGTTGACTTTTTAATCTAAGTTAATTTTCTTTGATTATTTTCAATATCTTCAACTACATTCATCTATCCTCAATTACCTTCAACTACCTTCAACAACCTCAGGATGGACCATAAATATTTTCAAGTGGTGACACCATTTAATTATAAGAAACGAATAAAGGGATAATTTTTACAAAATTATCATCGGTCTATTGGTTAGTTCATTGCTTTTCATATGTGAGGACCTATGTCCAAGTCCTTTTTTGCAAATTTTTTCCAGAAACATCTAAAACTAAAAGCTAAAAACTAAAAAATTGACACTAATGGGATTCGAACTCGGGTCCGGGGCGAAAGAAAAGACTTGCAAACCAACTTTACCAGGGGAAACTTGTGTCCTCATTGTAGTTACAAAATATATATGATGGCACACAACAAATTGATGCGTGGCACTTTTCACAACCTGATAATTTTTAACACTACGACGGAGGAACAAAACAGTGGCACGTGCCACCATAAAAACCCCCTGGCTCCGTCCATGAACTACCTTTTTCTTCAAATTTATCCACTTTTAATTTACTTTCACGAACTTTTAAATGCATTTAATCACTTTCGCATGCATGAATTTGTTAAAGTTTTGATCATGGTGATAAAAATAGGTAAACAAAGGTATATGAATGTAGGTATATGAATGTTTTGTTCTCACCTTCTCACCATAACTCTTATTCTCACCAGAGCCCAACCCTGAAATCTAAATACTAATGGGGTTGCAACCTGATTTGCTGCTGTTAACAAGCCTCGTAATTGTTTGGGTGCTATTTCAGCTATAAACACAGGTATCTTGCAACACAACATGTTTATTTAGTCTTATGAAGTACATACCAAGTAAACAGAAAGTTAGAAATCATATAAAAAGAGTAATTTTGAACGTAAACGGTGTGCAGAGTGATTTACCACGTAGGAAAAGATTCCCATTCCATATCCTGTAGCTAGTCTTCCAATGTCCAGAGACACGGGCCCCTTCATCATTAAAAAGAAAATAATTTGGTTACTCTTTTTCAAATTGCAGTATCTGCGAAAATATGTGGAACCCCCTAGATCACTCTCCAAAAGAGCCCTTGAGAAGAGAAGGGAGGTTCTCACATATATAGAGGGGAAATGGTCCAAGTCTAGCCGATGTGGGACTCCAACACCCCTATCTAATGGAGGCTAGATGGACAGAGATTGTCGAGAGGGTGCTAACCAAAGTATCGAGTCCCTAGAGTGGCAGTCTGGCAGACTTTGGTTCTGATACCATATGAGAATATGTAGAACCCCTAGATCACCCTCCAAAAGATCCCTTAAGAAGAGAACGGAGATTCCAACATATATAGAGGGGAAATGGTCCAAGTGGGACTCAAACAGTATCCAAGCTCCGAAGTCAAGGCTTTAATGAACACTCTTGAGTAAATTTGGTGCATACCTGAGCAAGGTAAATTGCTAGCCACCCTCCTATACAGAAACCACTTGATAATCTCAATGCCTATACGATTGTCGAATAAAAGATTTGGTTGTTTGAAGTTATAAAATATAGAAGGTGCTGTAAATGACGATGGCTGATAATTTCTAAACTGTCATAACTTACCCCTTTGCGACCAAAGAAATCAGCCATGGGTCCACTTGAAATGGCACCAAGCATTGCACCACATGTCAATATTGAGCCAAAGAAAGAAAACTACAAAAGACAACAAATATATATATAGCTTTTACTTTTGAATCTGTTAGTCTGTTAGTGATCTTCTATTACGTTCTGCTGCCTCCTGTTCTGGGTTTTAACAGTTTGATTAATGCGGCTTTCTCAATTTGTACTAAAAAGGGAAAGAAGCATTTGAATGAATGAGTTACACGAACTTGGGCTTGTGTGTGCTTGGGAGTTGGTTACTGTTTTGCCTGTAAAATGACACCTTTAGATCAAGCTTTGAGACCCCAAGAGCCCCAAGGCCCTATCTTTGACGTTTAATATGTAAATGTGATTTGCAAAGCCCAAGTCCATGTAGCTCACTCATCCAAGCCCAAGCCCAAGCCTTAGGCTTTATCAAGTGATTTCTTATTTGACTTGGTTCCTATGTGGGACAAGTTCCTTTTCCTTACAAAGTTCCAACACTATCTATATAGTTTCAGATAAGTTCATATTACTGTTTGTATTCTGGTTTGGTGGTTTGTTTCTGTAATCATTATTGGTTGATACACCACTCATCATGTTTATATTGAGTAATATCTTTCAAAATGTCTTTGCTATGGATTTATGTTGCTTGCAAATTACGTTTCCCATAAGTTATTATGCACTTGAGCTAAGTGCTGCGGAAACTAACCTCTGCTATTGTTAGATTTAGATCTTTCCTGATGGCATCCTCGCTAGGAGATGAATAACCAATCTGACGAATGAAAGACAAGCAAATCATTAATGACATGTGAGAATATGTGGAACACCCAGGTCACTTTCCAAAAGTGCCCTTGAGAGGTTCCAACATGTATACAGAAGAAATTGTCCAAGTCTAGTTGATGCCGTACTCCAACATGCCCCCTCCAACGGAGGCTAGATGGACACAACTTGCCCCAGAGAGTCGGGTTCCTAGAGTGGCAAACCTTGGCTCTGATACCAAGTGAGAATATTGGAACCCCCATATCACTCTCCAAAAGTTCCCTTGAGAAGAAAGGGGGGGTTCCAACATATATACGCAAGACATGGTTCAAGTGTAGCTAATGTGGGACTCCAACAAAAGAAGATAAAATTAAATGACTAACCGAACTCGGGACTTACGCCTGTTCCAAATGAGAAAGAACCACAAACTGCAACAAACGTGCTGATGTAAACCATACAATTATTCTCTTTTCTTCTGTCATCTTGAGCTATAAGTGGAGCTCTAACCTCATTTTGACCTCTGTCCTCTATTTTCTTTATATCCTTTTTTGCAACCATGCTTATTTCTACCTGTTTCACTAAAGATAGTATCTGCAATGTACAAAAGAAATTAGAACTCTAAGGAACCCAAAAGATGTGTAGATCAACAAACATCAAAATGAAAGAATGACATATTAAGATTCACATGTGAATTGCAACAATTCACTATATGTGAATGGAAGTGCTTGATGATTGGTAAGATGCAAAAAATTCCATTCGACAATGTTCATATGGGATCTTATGAACCAAAATCACTACCATTTATAATTCGTAATGATGATAATCACCAGCATATATGCCAAGAAAATGTTGTAAATTGAATACAAAAGTTCTGTTTTCATAGCTCCGGAGGAATATAACTAATAGTTTATATACTTTGAAACACCCATCACGACATAATAATCTTCTTTTTATTACAACGTAGGAAGAGTGATATAATCTTTTTATCACAACATAGGAAGAGTTATATAATCTCCTTTAGTTTATAAGCTCTAAACATCTTATTGAATTGTTTAAGAGATCGGATGAACTAAGGAGGATTTGGCCTTGTGTAGATTTTACACATATATTAAATGGTCAAAAGATAGCACTAGGACATACATGTTTCTGCAGAAATGTTCATTGAAGATATGTTTTGTTGTTGAACATATCTAATTGATTAGGTAATCCCGGGGGTGTCTTAACCCAAACAACCTGATAGTAGGGGCTAATAATATCCTAAGGACAGGGTTTAATCATGTCCTAATTATTGTTTTACTATCCTTTTTCTCCTTCTATAACTCTATTTTATAACGAAAATTATCTTCATCATTGATTAATTGCAAAACAGAAACATTATAACCTCTTAGCGGTCTGAAAAGCTTCTTCCCATTGTTCAACTTCAAACGATCGGTCTCTATCACCATCAGAGCTAGGTATAGGGAGCTCCCATAGAGGTTTGAGTTTGCACTTTTGCTTACTCGGCATTTAAATTGTGTCGGTCAAGTTCCATTTCTTCCTATGACCTCTAAATTTGAAATGCAAGTGCGTAAATCGACTTCTGACGATTAAAATTATCTAAGGTGACAATTTACAATTTAGCAGATATCTGTTCAACTCCTTCTCAAACTTCGAATCCCAAAAGTATGAACAAAAAGATATATCAGAATAAAAACGAATCAGAAAACTACTTGTTTTGTATTATATCATATGATTCAACTTCCACACATGAAAATAAGCACATCGGTAAGGAATTAGGGCACATGTTCATCCGATTTGGACTTACCTGGTTTTTTCCGGCGAGATTTAAACCGATATCCTTACCGGCAGTAGTTGATTACTTCCTTTGGCAGCGATTTTGTGTTGAAATTGGAATTATATGAATTAGTAATTGAAATTTGCAGAAATTAACGGATCAATGGATCGTAGATCCGAGTGTTGTGTGTGTGTGTGTGTGTGTGCGCGTTCAGATAATTTGCAGAGAGCAATGGTAGTGATGCAGAAGAATCGGAGAGAAGTATAAGGAAAGAGTCGCCTTCATGAAAGACGGTTTGTGTTGTTGCCAAAATAATATGTATTCGTACCATGAGCGGGAGGGAAATATAACTTTTTATTTCCAATAGAATAAATTACATTTTTAGTTCTTATGATTTGTAAACAATTACACGTTACAACTTTTGTCCTTATGGTTTTTCTAAATTTTGGTTTTTGTTTCTAACTTTTGTCCTTACGGTTTTTCTAAATTGTTCATGTTAAACGAACTTCCTACCGAATGGTTCACGAATGGTTCGCTGAACGTTTGGTTCATTTACAGCCCTAGGTGGATGGACCAAAAATCCGCTCAAACTCTTAATATGGAAACCAAGTCCCATTTTGGGTTTCAAGTATCGGATTGCTTTGGATTCATGTTGGTCAGGATTCGTGTTGGGATCTGTCGGGTTCAGATATAGTTATATGCAACATATATATATATATATATAGAGAGAGAGAGAGAGAGAGAGAGAGTTTGTTTCAAATACAACCCGTCGCATTTGTATAACCAATACAACCCAATAAATTGAGATATTTATGGAAATGATGAGAGTTCATTTATTATGATTTGAATATTTATGAAARATGAATATGGTTCATTAATTATGATCAATACCTTATATTAGGAAACAATCAAAACTTCTATCAAATCACATATTAATCGAATGAAATTAATGGTTGAAATTGGATTGTATTGGTTGTACAAATGTCAAGGGTTGTATAATAATCAACCTCTCTCTCTCTCTCTCTCTATATATATATATATATATATATGTACGGACTTACAGTAGTGTTACCGTATTATTCTTTGGTCGAAGGGTGAAAAAATTTAGGTTCATGAAATGTACAATCGTATTAATTTGTTGTGTATCATAGTATGTATTCTGAAACTACAATGAGAATAAATTTTATTTAGTAGAGTTGGTTTATATATGATGAAATTATTCACATATTTTTATTTTATTTATCATTGAAAATTTTATATCAAAATAAAATAAACTCTACATTGATTTCTATTTTAAGGATTTAAAATTATTATTTTACAACACGCAACTAAATTTTAATTTATTTAGGGGTTTTATTACAGGTTACCTGCTAATGATGTCACGACCCAGATCAAATATTCAGCGTTATTTATTACACTTTCATACACCTTTTTCGTGACTTCGCCTTTTACTGTTTGATTAGTCATTTTATAAAATTTTGATTACATTTTTTCGTACATGTAACTTGTTAAAATAATTACCTTCTTTTGTAATTACGGTTTTTGTACTTGTGGTTTTTAATTCACTGTTTTTTCGTCTTTGTGATTTACTATTCCTTGTTTTTTCCGTCTTCTTTATTTAACAATAAACCACTGACAAAGTTAGCCTAAAAACTAAAACAATAATGAGTTGCAAACCCAATGAACGAAAATGGTAATTTCAAATTCATAAACATGAAGTCGTAAATTTTAACAAGCCACATATGAAATTAATAGTTTGTTCAGAAAATACAGTAACAACCATGGCAGTAATAGAATTAATAATCAATTAAAAGGGAACCGGTGAAGGTCATATCGATTTGGGACTCGCCGTATCCAAATCAAAATTATGCAAACTTTTAGGAGGTGTGAGAACGAACCAGTTTCTCTCTATACATGTTATTGCAACCATGTTGTTTCTAAAATTTAAATAAATAACTACCATAAACTATAAATTATATAAAAATATAATTTCAAACAGTTAAACAAGTCTAACCAGATAAACAACACTTACAACTTCCGAGTTGAATGATGTAAGGAATAGAAATACAATAATAAAACAAGTGGAATAATACAATGAACAAAAACAAGGTGAAATTGGAATACATGAAGATGGGGTTTGGACAATGCTCTATTTCTTGCTATATGTTACTTTGGATTTTGGATTATAGTACAAGACTGACAATTTCGAACATTTTCCATCATGACGAGTGGCTTCAACAATTGTTTTACCATGCTAGGTCCGTGTTATGACACCATAAATTTATTTGACACTGTTACAGACGAATTAATAGAGTCTAGTTAGAATAGCAAATGGTACCGTAAGACAAAAATATACCATCCCAAAAGAGTCGGTTCTAATGGTACCTGGTCGTCAACCCGAGTCTAATTAGGTATAGAACATGGTTGCTTATCAGAAAACGAGTACTGGTTTAAGCGAAACTCAGTAATATTAAGAAAATAAAACCTGGTTTTAAGGTCGTATCTAAGGATATTCCAATATAAGATATGGATTTTGTGGTCCAATTATACGTGTTTTTTGCTTCTTAAATATATATGTTTTAACTTTTTGTCCATTTGTAATTTTTTAACCTGATTCCCTATTTAATTAAATTTCATGTTACTTTGTCACGGTTTGTTTTTTAATCCTAAACTTTTTAATTTAATAATATGGTATACTTCTATGTTTTTATTTTAGAGTAAATTACAAATTTGGTCCTTGTGGTTTGTCACGAATAACACTTCTCATCCCCATAGTTTTGAAATTACAAGATGGTCATAGTGGTTTGCAAAAATGTTCAGATTAGGTCTCTGCAAAAACGTTCAGATTCGGTCTCTCTCTAAGACCGTTAAAAAATCCATTAAATGAGATATAATTTGGTCTTGTTATCGATCTTTTTTGCCATTTACCCAATCAAAAACCACATGGACCAAATCGTAAAATCAATTATGACTGGTTAAAAGACAAAAAAATTGATAAAAAAAACAAAAATATCCCTCATTTAACGGAAGTTAAACATCGGTTAAAGAGAGATTGAATCCAAACATTTTTGCCAACCATGATAACCATCTTTTAATTTTGAAACTATAGGGATGAAAAGTGTTATTTTCAACAATCCACATAGACCAAGTTTATAGTTTACTCTTCATTTTAATTATCACTCGTTGCCTCCAAAAATACTGGAACGACCCTGCCTTGTTTGTAGGACAAAATCGAGTACTATCTAATGAAAGAAAAACCATGCAAACAAGACTCAAGTTGTTTGTTACAAACCAAGTATGAAGTACCATATGTGATTTGTCGATCTAGACGTACCTGTTTTAGTACCCGTTTGTTTTTTTAATCTTCAGATACGTGGGAGGTGTAATTCACGTTAGATTTACGAAAACCGTCATGTGATTCTATATTTAGTTGTTAAATGTAAATGCATAGGTGAAGTTCAGAGAGATCCATACCATGATTCTATTTTGTCGTCACTAATTATTAATGGCGGCTTGAATTTGCTCCAAGGTTCTTCCTTTCGTTTCAGGTACCATCGTGATCACGAATACAATACCAGCAAGGTTTATCGCTGCATATACGAGGAAGGTGCCTAAAACAAGACATAAGATGTTAATATTCTTTATGTATGAGTTAAGTTGTCTGTCTGAGGAACAGGAGACTGACGGGTTTGAGGAGGCAAAAAGATGGCTGGATTATTTCTAGTATTAATTTGCTTGAGGTTGGCTTAATGGGGCGAGTGAGGGGTCATGGGTTATTCCATATAACCATTTTGGCTTAATGGCTTAGCATTAAGCCGTAAATAAACACGATACCCCTTAGGAATAAGCACAAAAATGGCCCATCCGACAAACTAGCCCAATTGATCAGATTTGTTACCACAAAATGACATTCCATTCTCAAAATCGCAAGGTATTTCACGAAAGGACCCACTTTTCCAAATTTTTGACCGAATATTAAACACAATTTTGGATGTCAGTGAAGATTTCGCATGTTACCTAAGTAGATTTCCACTTTTACACAAGACAAAATCGACCTTAAAAGAACATAATGAACCATTTTCCATGTTTACTTAATTTGAGCCTTAGCTAAAAGCACAAAAATTCTCCATGTTTGGAACCATTCCGCGAAATCTTCATCAACTTCCAAAATAGTGTTCTAAATTCCGTCAAGAAGTGGAAAAAGTGTACCATTTCATGTAATGCCTTGCTATTCGTGAGCATGTTTGCGAAATGAGGCCCTTTTATAATAAATCTCATAAATGGGGCTACGTTCAAGAGCATCTCAACATATACTCCAAAAGGGAGAAAATGGAGATTTTGTGGATTTTTTTAGCTTCAACAGATTGTCCAAAATGGAGAAAGCATGAGAGAGAGTAAAATTCTACAAGAGTTGGATAATTCCCTAAAAATGATGGTTTATGAGAAAGAAACGGTTTTTTCTTATTCTCCCCAACAACAGTACATTAAATGTCCATTTTATTAAATGTATTGAATATTTTAATAATATAATTGATGTTGTGATCTTTAAAATGAATATTTTGTTGGATTTGAATGTAAATTTTTTGGAGATGTTGATTTTCAACTCTCCATTTTGGAGAAAATTTGGAAATTCTGTTGGAGATGCATTTAGGGGTTAAAGGATTAGATGCTTATGAATGTATTAAGATTACCGTAAGAACTCCAGCTCAATAGAAAATTGAACGTGAACGATACACCCCATGCACCAAACCAGTTTACTAGCGTTGCAAGGCTCCCAGCGGCACCCTTGATGTTAATAGGGAATATCTGTATACAATATATTCCTCCCGTTATTGATGTTCTTATGGGAAACTAGAACGGTAAAATGTATCAAAATGCAACAATTTGACTTCGATCCTATTTAGTGTAACAAATAATTTTTTTTCTCAATCAATGTAACAATGCTTTAAATTTTCCAATTTTAATGTAACAAAGTTTCAAAAAAAAAAAACACAAGGGTGGTGCCTGATTGGGTTGAGTTTGTCTTCAAAGGTCAAAATTGTCTGGAGGTCACAGGTTCAAATCCAAGGAGGAATAAAAATCTCCTTGTGGCCACGAAGGTTCAAATACGGTGACTCTGGGCTACCTGCAAAGCTTTGGTGTCGGCACATAGTAGGTTGGATATCCAGGTTAATAAAAGAAAGTTTCAAAAAGGATTTACTCATTTTGACAGCTAACTACTAATATTGTAACTTGTGATGACATGGATGTGAGGTTTATCGTCCACTTAGTTGTAAGCCTTTTGTAAGCTTTTTGTAATCGGGAATTGAAGTCTTCAAATAGGTACATAATAGAAAATTTTGAAACTTTGTTACTTTGATTGAGGAAAAAATGTTAGTCGTTACACTAAATAGAAACTTAACCGAACTTTGTTGTATTTTGATGCATTTTGGCCAAACTAGAAATGAGAAATTGTATTGATTGTATATATATATATACCTCAGACATTATAATCCATGGAACTGCTCCCATTCCTGCTGAGAATGATGCTATGTACAACTGCATTGAAGAAAAATTTTGAAAACTCGTATGTTCATAATTTGCTATTGCTAATGATGTGTATATATATATATATATGTGTGTGTGTGTGTGTGTGTGTGTGTAAATAGATATTTACCAGTATTCCTGTTACAGCTAGCGCAGGTGCTGCCTCTAGTCCTATTTCATAAGTCTGGTGTACAAAATGATTGTTAGATAACAGACATTTCAAGTGCTGACATATAATAAGATACTCCCTCCGTCCCAAAATAAATGCTAGATATCAATCGAGAATTACCTTAGCCATTTGTAATCACTAATCACTACAAATGAATGGTAGGATTGATATTTCTTCCACAAGATTTACATTATTGGAGGGAGTTTTAGATATTTGACTTATATTTAGAGTCCTACATCAACTACACTTGGACCATTCCTCCACAAGGGTTAGGTTCTAGTGAGAATGGAAGTTATGTGAGAAGGGTAAGAATGGATCTCCACTCTTGGATCAATCCTAATTCAAGATCAACACTAATGAGATGCATCAAATCAATTCCTGTGAGAAGGCCAATTCATGGGATGGGGGTGAGATTAAAAGTGATCAAGGGTCCAGATCCCTTCTTATGCTTCTCATTTTAACTCCTATTCTCACATGATCATTCGTCTTCTCCATAATATATGTTGAAACGTCCCTTTTATCCGTAAGAGCATTTTGAAGAGTAATTGATGGGGTTTCACATATTCCAACATGGTATCAGAGCCAAAGTCTACCGGTCTACGACAATTTGTGCCCATCTAGCCTCCATTGCCCGCTAAACTTGGACCATTTCTCCACGATATACGATAAAACCTCCCTCGTCTCTAGAAGGACTCTTTAAGAGAGTATTAAATGGGGTTCTACAATCCTCACAACTCATGGTCAAACATTCCCTTTAAACTATGTTTCAAGTCAACTATTATTATATTTGTTTTGGGACAGAGAGTAAAAGTGTGAAGGTTTCATGTCTGATAATTACCTTCATGTAGAATGAAAGAGCTGCTAGTAAACAACCCATAACCAATCCAGTGCCTGAAACCTTGATACATATATATATATATATATATTTGTATTTAAAAAGAAGACCTTGAATCAAGGAAGACTCAATAAAAGATTATAAGGGATTAGAGATGCACAAAAAGCCCAGGCCTAGTGAGCCTGAAACCCGGTCAGGGCCAGGCCGAAATTTTGGGGGAAGGTCCTGCTTGAAGAAAGCCCAGTTAAGCCCAAAAAGGACGGCCTGAAAAAGCACGATTGGGCCTTTTTAAACCCCAAAGCCCAGCCCAGACAAAAATTGACCAGCCCCTTTTTTGCTCACTGAAAATGGGCTTGGAAGGCCCAGGCCCGGGCCCAGACCTGAAAAATCTCAGGCCTTGTGCATCTCTAATTCTCTATAACAAATTGTTGGCAGATAATGTAAACTTTACCAGTAACAGTGGCTTTCTACCAGCTTTATCTACAAAGAGTGCATTTAAGGCAGTAACCACAACCTGCAAAAAAGAGTAGCAGTTTGTAAATAGTAATTCGTCTGGAACAAGGGTTCTAGATTATTCTAGAATCTTTAAATAGAACTTCCTATAACCTGAATAATTGCATAGATTATTGTTCCAATATCAGCAGGAAATCCTGAAAAAAGTCATGCACCAAAGTTAGTGTTTTGGTTGTTTTCAGCAAAATGCTGGTTACCGGCAACCCCAACCTGCTTCACACGGAACCCGCCTCGGAAACCACATGTGAAGAGGCATTTCAGAGCTGACTCAACAGTTGAGGCTAGCGAAGGGTTCAAGCCCGCCTTCCGCACAGGGACGGACCCAGGTGGTTCAAGTGGTGGCACGGGCCCACCACTTCGTTCCCCCATTGCAATGTAAAAAATTATAGGGTCGTGAAAGTGTCTCCGCATCAATTTGTTGTGTGCCACTGTATATACTTTGAAACTATGATGAGGACTAAGTTTTCCTTGGTAGAGTTGGTTTGCAAGACTTTTCTTCCACCGCAGACCCGAGTTCGAGTCTCATTAGTGTCATTTTCTTAGTTTGTAGCTTTTAATTTCAGATTTATAATGTTTCTAGAAGATTGCAATAAAAGACTTGAACACAACACCTCACATATGAAAAGTAATGAACTAATGGAAAGCGCTGAACTAACCAACAGACCAAATGATGATTTTGTGAAAGTTATTCCTATATTTGTTTCTTATAGGAAATGATGCCACCACTTGAAAAAATTTCTAGGTCCGTCTCTGCTCCCGCAGGATTTGAACTTGGACCTGTTGTGTATTTGAGTAAAGTCGTTCCACCTCTTTGCCAACTGAGCTACACTCCCTAGGGCTAATGTTTTGGTTGTTATATTGCTATGCCGAAGCATCAAGGGTTGTAATCCAAAATCTATACCTGCAGACTCGAAAATACTGCTCGTGTAAAAACAGATTCCATTGATTCCTCCGAATTGTTGACAAACCATCAGTCCAACTCCAATCTTCCCAAAAGAAAATTGAACAAAAGCAAGAAAGCGTAAGACTACAATTTTGCAAATACAAGAAGTCTTTTGGAGTGCGTATAATACGTTGGACAAGACGGGACGAGACAGGTCAGAAGAAAATAGGTGGAACAAAGGGAGATGGGACAAGATAGGTAAATTACCAAATTGACCATGTCAAATTAAAACCTTAACCTTCCACAGTTCTTTCATGCCTACCTCACTGTCGTCCAGTCCTGTCTGGTCTGTGTACCAAACGCACCCATCTAAAAGTCAAGGCGGCAAGATTTCGCAAGAAGATAAACTTACAGTGACAGATCTCAAATATCTTCTCTGAAACAAATCAAATAGTTTCGCCTTCGGGAGCCTTTGCAGTGTTTCTATATAATCCTATTAATAAGACCTTATTAATAACCCATTAAAATTTTTAGTCGCGAATTTGGAAATGTAAACCTGGATTTCATCGGCCTCCTCAGATACGTCAACATCCTTCCCTCGAAGTTTTCTTAGGGCAGCTTCAAACTCTTTTTGTTTTCCTATCTTAGCCTGCATACATTTCAAAGATAATTTCTTGAACCTTTTCTGTAAGGTAACTTGACAAATCATCCCACATGGATATAAAAGTAGATTCATGAGCTTAATGTTTTGGGCTACCAATAACTCCCACCATGGTTTTAAGTTGAATCAGAAGTTATTGGACCAGCCTGTTGCTTTGGGCTTTGAACATTGCAGAATCATAATATTTCACATATTTCTACTAGACCTTACCAGCCATCTAGGAGATTCTGGTATAAAGAACAGCCCCACTAGTAGAACAGCACAAGGAATCAATCCTGCAACCATACCACGGAAATTCATGAGTCCCACATCAGCTAGACTTGGACCATTTCTTCTCAATATATTTTGGAACCTCCTCCTCTCCTCAAGGGTTTTTTAGTAGAGTAATCTAATGGGCACCATGTATTCTCACATGGTATAAGAGACAAAGTCTACAACTTTAGGGACTCAACACTCTATGCCTGGGTAGCCCTCTATGGAGATTGTGGGACAATTTTGTGCCCCTCTAACCTCCATTGGAGGGGGCGTTACATCAGGCCATCGGCTAGACTTGAACCATTTCTCCTCGATATATGTTGGAACCTTCCTTCTCGGGTTCTTTTGGAGAATAAACCAATGGGGTTCTACGTATTCTCACACAACAATGCGTTCATTGTAAAAAAGTAGTAAATGAACATAAGTTCGAATTAGAAACCTGTCAATGCCAAGGTCCTCCATGCTAACATTGTTCCTATTATAAATGCAACGGACACTCCTGCGCAGATCATGAGCTGCAGAATAGGTGGGAGTAGTTCAGAGATACCTCAACTTTCCCTATACTCCCTTTTTTCTGTGCACCATTTGTGAGCACAAGAGATTTTGTGGCCATGGAGGTTCACCTACGATGACCCCAGGCATTCGTGATCTCCAGGGGGATTATTTGGTGAATGTAAGTTGGCCCAGATACCCACAGTTACCCCACAAAACGAGATATTCTGCGTACGAAATCCATAACTGATGTGGTTGATACCTGATTTGCTGCTGTTAGTGCTCCTCTTAAATTTTTGGGTGCTATTTCAGCTATGAAGACAGGTACCTTACAATACAAAACATATCTATGTCAAGCTACTCCGCAACATACCATATGAACAAAAAGTTGGCAATCATATACTCCATTTGGTCCCAAAATCAGTGTCTACTTTCCGATTCTACCCTTAACTATGAGATGAAAAAATTCATTACTCCATCTTAATGGTAAAATTGTCATATAGTTAATTCAAAGTGTAATAGTTACGTATTTCTAGAACTGCATTTTTTTCATAGAGGACATTCATTTTGGAACAGAGAGAGTAAGTTTGATCAATTTGGAGTCAAATGTTGTACAATACCACATAGGAAAAGACTCCCATTCCAAATCCTGTTGCTAGTCTTCCAATATCCAGAGGTAGAGGCCCCTTCCATAGCAAAAATAAAAATGTTTAGTTATATCATGTCAAATTGGAGCACCCTTGTTTTACTGAACTTTCCAGCTAAAATGTTAGGTACCTGAGCAAAGTATATTGCTAGCCAACCGGCCGTGCAGAAAGCGGTTGATATCCTCAATGCCTGTTCTCATCGTCAAGTGAAGGATTTTGTGGTCTTAACTTGCAGTGAAGTAAAGAGTGTTCTAAAGAAATAATGGTTGCCAATATGGAAACTCTCATCAAAGAGTCATTGGCCCGATGGTAGCCAAGTTACCAGTAAATCCCAACCTCCCCGTCACCAAAGATGAGGAGTGTGTGTGTGTCTGTGTGTGTCTGTGAGTTTTGTTATATATATAGACGCATAATCATTTAAAAACCCAATAGATAGTATAAACTTACAAAAGTTTGAAACAATATGTGTGAAAATGCAATATTTTTATAGTGTTGTTTCATATGTAAAACGTTCAAAACTGTTGGACGTTTCACATATGAAACAATACTTATAAACAATGCATTTTCACCAGTGTTGTTTCATATATGAAACAATATGTGATTACTCGTTTGCAAGTGTGTACGAGTTATTCGGTTTGTTAAAAAAGGGGATTGTATGTATATGTAGGGGGGCCTTTTTTTGAAAAACCCATTAAATTTGTGATAACCTTGAGAACTAGTGCATCATATGTTTTTGTATATGATTTCTTTTCATCTAAGACTAGGATTTAAAATATCGATTAACATATATTTGTTTCACTATGTGATTGTTTCATATGTACTCTGGTTCACAATGTGAATATTTTTGGCGTATTTGTGAAACAAAAAATTCATGTAAAAAAGTTTCAGATTGTGAAACGAATATATATGAAACAAACACATTGTGAAACAAATATATGTTAATTAATATGTTAAACACTATTAGTAGATGGAAAAAGATAATGTGAAACAAAAGTGTAAGGTTGAAATTCTCACGGATCTCACAAATTTTGGAGTTCTCAAATGATTAAGCCCCTATATATGTATATGTATGTATATATATATATGTACATACTCTCATAAATATGAAACTCTCTTTAACTTACCCCTTTGCGACCGAAGAAATCGGCCATGGGTCCACTTGCAATTGCACCAATCATCGCGCCAAATGTTAGTATCGAGCCAAACAAGGAATACTAGAAAGAAAGACAAGACTCATCAATCATTGCACAAATGCCAATATTGAACTAAACAACAAATGCTTGCAAAAAAACACAACAAAGGTTTGTATATTATACTTCTCCATTTGTGCCGACTCCTGTTCTATCCCAATAAAGAATCTGATTAACATTTGCCTTGAGGAGACTTGAGCTGCCAAATATAGATGGCCATTTCAAGTCTCCTCAGGGATACAATGGAATTTTTCTGGCCATTATCTTCAGGGCTGCATGGGATTAGTTGAGGTGTGCGCAAGCCAACCCTAGCACCCGTACCGTAGTTACCAAAAAGAACAAATGTAACCCAACTTTATACGTGTCTAAGAGTTTGAAGTTGATCAAACTCTTTTTCCTTATCAACAAGAATCCTTTTACAAATCATGTGGTTAGGTTTTGTTTGGTTACTAGTTTTTATCATCATTATTGATTGACAAAGACACTAGTTGTCATTTATTTCTTGATTGCATGTTCTATTGCTCCTCCCCATAGATCGTCAATTCGAGTCGCCTCATGGGCCAATGGGGATTTTTCAGGCTGTTATCTTTAATATCTCATGGGATTAGTCGAGGTGAGCCGAAAGCTGGCCCATACACCCAAGATCATTAATGAACCGGTTCTGTGATTGGGCTAAATGTTGCTCAAACTAACCTCTGCCAGTGACAGATTTAAGTCTTCCCTGATGGCAGACTGAGTAGGAGACGAATAACCTGCCTGAAGAGAAAAAATGGAGAAAATCATTGTTATCATCAAACCAGACCAAACGAACTCAGTACATTGTTAGCGCCAACAGAATTGGCAAAATCAGAACATGGTGTTCCATATTTGGGCAAAAAGTTAATTACCGGCAACTCCAATCGGCCCCACACTGAAACCACACCCTAGGAACCATATGTTATGAGGCATTTCAGAACTGACTCAGGGGCTGAGGTTAAGGGAGAGGTTCAAGCCCGTCTCTGACAGGATTTGAACTTGAACCTATTTTTGTATTTGAGCAAAGTTGCTCCGCCCCTTTGCCAACTGCCAACTGCCAACTGAGCTACATGCGCGAGGGCACATGGTGTTTTATTTTATATATTCATAGAAGATAAGGTGAAATCAGCACTTACACATGATCCAAATGCAAAAGAACCACAAACTGCAACAAATGTGCTTATGTAAACCATGAAATTCTTCTCCTTCTTTTCTTCATGTTGAGCTATCAATGGAGCGCTTGTCTCATCCACAACCGTGCTTTCCGTTTTCGCCATATCCTTTTCAATTGCTATGCTTCACCTGCTCTAAAATTAACCAGAATTACATCTCAGAGAAACTAAAAATATCTCATATTCCCGCGTAAACAAAAGGAGCTCGTGAAATCTATAAGGAACTGATATTAACCATTTACATAACAAACCCTTACCTATTGTAAAAATACGAAAGTAATAACTAAGAGTTAGGCACTCATAAATGTTCTCGATCATTATGAATCACAAAAATTAGCAAAATTCAAAATCTCAGCAGAGATTTCCATCCGCGTAAACAAAAGGAGCTCGTGAAATCTATACGGAACCGATATTTATCTAACTATTTACATAACAAATCCTTAACTATAGTAAAAATACAGAAGGAATAACAACAGTTAGGTACTCATAAATGTTCTCGATAATTTTGAATCACAAAAATTAGCAAAATCATCAGAGATTTCCATCAGCTTCATCGAACTACGAATCATCCTATCCCAAATTTCAGGCCATAGATATAAACAAAATAATCGGAATCAAATGCGAAAACAAAACCAGCTGAAATTGATCATATAAAAACGAAAACCGACGGATTAAAACCTGTGATTCACAAATCGACGATACCTGCGTTTGCCGCCGGTGAAGTTGAAGTCCGAATCCTTAGACTTCGTAGAAGTAGGAAGCAATGGAGAAGGAGCAGAAGGAGAAGTGGTGGAGTTGGAAGCCGGTGTTTATGCAGGAATGATTACTGATAGTGAAGGACGAGCTCTTAAAGACGGCTGTTTTTTGTTTGCATCTTGTCATGAGATATTTTTTTATAAGTAATTTAATTCTAGACTAAACTACAGGTTTGGTCCCTTTGGTTTGTCAATAGTAACATTTTTGGTCCCTGTAATTCTAAAATTATAAGATGACCATCGTGGTTTGTAAAATGCTCGGATTTGATCCCTCTCTCTTAGGAGTAAATAAATGCGGGTACCCGGTGAAAATTCATGGAATGGTCCCGGAAATGGAACCGATGGTTCCTGGAGTAAATGAACCAGAATAGGAACCGGTTACACAATGTTAAATTATAAGCATTTTCGTTTTTATTATTTATTTTTTATTTCTTTTATCCAATCAAAAACCACATGATCAACATCATAAAATTGACTTTGATGGGATTAAAAGACAAAAAAATATAGACAAAAAGACAAAAATACCCGATTATTTAACATAATTTTTAACAACCGTTAAAGTGGATGACCAAATTTAGACGTTTTTGCAAACTATAGTGACCATCTTGAAATTTCAAACTATAAAAACAAAAGGTGTTATTTTTGACAAACCATAAGGACCAAAATTGTAATTACTCTCTATTTTAAGAGTAAATAACATAGTTGGTTCATGGGGTTAGGTCATAAAGATATGGTCCTTTTTAAATAAGTACATTGAGGGTCCATGTGTTTTGCATTTTATTTTCCTCTAGATCCTTACCGCTAACACCGTTAAAAACCTTCCATTTAAGTCAAAAATAAATAGGTCATTTTATGTTTTCTTTTTATTTACTATTAAAAGAAACCATCCACTACACTTGTCCTTCCCCCAACCACCATCCAACCTTCTCTCTTTCAAGCACCGTGTATATAAACGTTTCAAATACATTTTATGATATTTGTATAATTAATACAACTTAATTAGTTGAGATATTTATAAAAATAATGAGAATTCATTTATTATGATTTGAATATTTATATAAGACTAAGATTTATTAATTATTATCAATACTTTATATTATAAAACAATCAAAACTTTTATGAAATCGCATATTTATCAAATTAAATGTACGATTGAAATTAAGTTGTATTGGTTGTACAAATGTAGATTGTTGCATAATAATTCTCTCATGTGCGCACACACACACACATATATGTATATATATATATATATATATATATTAGAAGCGTTATAGCACAATACAACTTGATACATCTCGATTTATGTGCTCCTTTTTATCATTTGTCTATATCAACTTTATAATATGATTTTGGAAAGATGGTAATATTTTTATATTTGAATAAAATATAAATTTGGAGACCTTGTGAAATGTAATATATATATATATATATATATCGATTAATAGTATCAAATTAACAGTTTAAAAGCTCTCTATTTTTTTATATTTTTTAATTCAATTTCTTGTTATTATTTACTTTATGTTTAATAACGAAGTAATTATTTTGGGTTTAATAATATAATTTTTTTTTAGAAAGATACTTTTTAATTAATTTTTTTTTAGCTTAAGGTTTGATAATTTTAGGTTTAATACTATATGTTTTTTAATAAAGAAAATAATTATGTATTTTGTTAAAACTCAATGATTATTTTAATTATATTTTAGAGTTAATTTGTCAAAGGTAATGACTCATTTAAAACAATAATGTATTTAATTTGATACCTAATATAATACATGAAAATGATCTTTCAAAACTATAAATTGACTTGGAAACATTTATATCCATACGATAATGTTTCTTCTATTTTGTTGGGGACCGTTATATATTTTTCTATTTTGGTTGGGGTTTTGAGAATTATTAGGTTATGTTTGGCATAAGTTAGCTGGTGAACAAATAATGTTTGGTAAAACTAGTTGATAAGAATGTAAGTTGACCCAAAAAGACATTTTCAAATAATCAATTATAATATTTCAAAATATAATCGAAACAAATCTTCAATAATATAAAGATATCAACTAATACAAATAAGATAGTATTATATTATATAATATTTGGATTTGTTAAAACAAATCTTATACAAATCTATTATTTGTAAATTTAAACAACCATTACATATAATATGAGTAAAATTG